GGGAGGGAGAGCAGATGATAGAGTAGGCTTTAGCGATTCCCTGGAGTGTGAGGCAGCGTTTACGGCACTCTCAGAGCAGCCAGAGTGATGAATATTTAAAGACGTGCCTGAAAGAGCAGAGGGAGGGGAAGCAGGGCGTGTGCGTGCGTGTGTTTGTGTTTGTGTGTGCCTGTCAATGTGTGCACATCCCTAAGTGTGTGTGAGGGAGGTTATCTAGAATCTCCTTTAGCATTTCCGTGTGCTTGTGTATACCATATGTACATACATGAATGTACATATATGCCTATATGTCCCTGTATATAGTTTGTAAGTTGTGAGTATATACGTCTATATGACTTAAATGTATGTGGACTAGGTCTGTTTATAGTTTATTTTCTTGTTTATGTTTGTTAATCTTTGTATGTATATGTGCACGTACACGCGCCGGTATCCTATGTGTGTTTAAATATGAGTATTTTATGTGTGCATATTGATTTACATGCATGCAAATACATCTATATTATCATGTACTTCCACTACAGTATTAAATGCAGTTCCTTGGTGTGTGTGTGTGTGTGTGTGTGTGTGTGTGTGTGTGTGTGTGTGTGTGTGTGTGTGTGTGTGTGTGTGTGCCAGCCTTGACGCGGGTGCCTGCCCTGTGTGTGTTTGCACTTCACACAGCCCTGTAGGCCAGCTCTCTGTCTCGCTAAATGGGGATGAATAGCAGAGTGTCGCTGCTGCTCAACGGGAGACGAATGGCTACGGGGCTCTCCGTCTCCAGTTACACACCGATCACTGCCTGAGACGCAAAAGCACACACAGTAGGCACGGTCATATATCCACCAAAATATTATCTAGGCCACGCAGCCACATGTGGCTAAGCTATCACACGGGCAATCAGAGCATGACATCTGACACCACAGACATCTTTGATTCATAAAGATTTTGTTATCTGTTGTTGTCTAAATAATGAGAAGATCAAACCTGATGATTAGCTCTAGTCTATGAAATTATACTCATATTAAGCTAATCCTAACTTTGGTGGCGACCTCCCTGAGTCCAGTCATGGAAACCTGGAGCCTTGGAATCACTCCTGGAAAGATCAAAGATCAAAGCGACACAAAAAGCAGTCAGAATGACAGAATTTTACCTTTTAATCTGAAAAAAACCCACCACACACCTACAAGCTATATCAAGTTGAAAACTTATTTTAGTAAACAGGCCAACGCTGCCACTCTCATACAGTAAATTGAATGTGAAGAGATGGATAAATAAAAAAGGTGTGGAGACAAATAAAGATGAGAGTTGGAACCTTGCATCGTGCCTTTCAGCATCTGAGGAGCTCACTTGTTCAAGTAAACAAAATACACACCACAAAAGATATTAAGGTATACAGTACAAACCACACACCAGCCTACACACCCGAGGCACAAACACCCATCCCTGCGCGTTGAATGCGAGATATTCCGAGAGGCGTAGAGGCAAAAACGGAAGGAAGGGAGAGTAGAAAAGAAAGCAGGAGTGTGAGAGAGAGAGAGAGAGAGAGAGAGAGCGAGAGAGCGAGAGAGAGAGAAAGCGCATCCTGGGATGCAGAATGCCAAATACAGTGAGATAAGAGTTAATGTATCCCCCCAACCACCCCCCACCCCCTTCATCCCTCCCGTTTGGCTCTCTCTTTCTTCCTCCCTACATCCATCCCTCCCTCCCTCCCTCCCTCCCTCCCTCCTCCTCCTCCGCCTCCTCCCCGTTTGCTTTGAGGGATGAATAATAACTGCTGCTCTGAGATTTCCTCCCTCGTTTTTCAAAGCGCAGAACGGAGATGGGGAAGGTCTGCCTGGCCCGGGTTGCGTGTGCGGGCGCGTGTGAGCACGCACACAAAAGCGCAGCCGGGCACTGAAGCACACACAGATGCACGCACACACTGTCTTGTTCTCCCTGCTTGCCTGGAGCAGGGAAATCAGATCTCCTCCAGAGAAAGGCGGGAGGAGGGTGGGGGGCTTAGTCGCTGTAGGGAGCCCATACAAAAATCCCCTGCAAGCACGTATAGGCCTATACACACCACAAAACCCACACGCAGCATCGAGGGAAACCAAGAATAACTAGGAGGATGCAAGCTGCCTCCTGGAGCGACAGGGTGAACTCAAGGTTAGAGACACATCACCGGTTCAAGCACCGCTGCCAGGGCCAATCCGTCCGTGGTGAAGCACCTCTGCAGGGCACATAACCCCGACTGCTCAAAGGCATCTAGCTCTGCTGCCCTGCATTGGAGGTTTGGGCTTCTAGACAAAGCCTTAAAGAATAGGAAAAAAACGCACTAAATAGGGATTCTGGTTTCTTCCCACTTGGTTTCAAAAGGGGAAAGGGGAAGGGGGTTAAGGAGAGCAAGAAGTCCTTGTGAAAGACGAGCAGCCTGTCCAGGAGGAGCACTTGCACATCAAGCTGCGACGCGCCACAGAAATCGACAGCTAGGTTCCGAGGAGAGGGCTTATTTATGCAAACAGGCGTACAAGCGCGCACAGTAGGAATCTAGACAAGCCTTGTAAACAAACACACACCCACACCATAAAGCACACAGGGGAGGCGATGTGAGAAGCAGACTGTGAAAACTCTAGTCGTGCCCTGGCAGTGCTCACACACACACACACACACACACACACACACACACACACACAAGCAAAGAGCTGAGAGAGTGAAGTGGCAGAGAAGGAGGGAAAAGAAGGACAAAGAGAGAGAGAGTGGAGGAGAAGGAGGAGGGATAAGTGCGAAGGTGTGAGTGTCTGGTGCTACTTTTGTATTGCCAAATGAGGGCAAGTGAATGAGTGTGACAGAGAGAGAGAGAGAGAGAGAGAGAGAGAGAGAGAGAGAGAGAGAGAGAGAAAAGAGAAAGAGGGAGAGAGAGATGTGGTAAAATGATGTATAATGACTCGTCCATGCATCCGTGTGTGCGAGCGCGGGCGAGGAAAAGTAGGAGCACTTTCCCATTTCAATTCGCAACAGCTGGTGTCGAATTAACACATTTACCAGTGTGCATTTGGAACAGATTAAAATTGTGTGTGGCGTGTGACTGTCTGTGTGTGCGTGTGTGTTTGTGTGCATGTGTGTGTGTGTGATAGCAGATCAGGGCCAAAAACAAGAGTGTGTTTGTGTGTGGGAGTGTCTGTGTATTAACGCAATGGATCAGGGCAGGGAGAAATGGCAGAGAGAGAGAGAGAGAGAGAGAGAGAGAGAGAGAGAGAGAGAGAGAGAGAGAGAGAGAGAGAGAGAGAGAGAGGCGAGAGAGAGAGGCGAGAGAGAGCAGCAGAGAGGGATGCAGAGTGAACGAGCTAGAAAGAGAGAGAGAGAGCTCTACCCGACGGCTTTAGCTGCTGCCCTGGGCCGTCTCTCTAAGCCCTGTTTAGGAGGCTTTGGAGCTCAGATAGAAATAATCCCCCACTCAGACACACACACACGCTAGGCATGCACACACAAAATAAAAACACACACACACACACACACACACACACACACTGGAATGCTCATAGACAGACATACAAAAAGCACGCACTCATGGCGAGGCGGACAAACAAGTCCGCACACATGCACGTAGGCGCACGCACGCACGGCAACAAGCAGCGACAGCACATTCGCCTTGACACGAAACCAACCACCCGCCTACACACACACAGACACACACACACGTACAAAAAAACACACACTAAGGGCTGTCTGCCGTGCGCTGCTTCCGCACGGCAGAGCACAGCGACATCGGCACGGCACCGTGACAAACACTTTACACACTCCAGCACTCAGCAGAGGGGAGGGAAGGAAGGAGGGAGAGATAGGGAAAGAGGGGAGGAGGCGGAGGAGGATATGAGCAGCGGGGGGGAGGGAGGGAGGTGAGTGAGTAGGGGAAAAGGGGGGAAGGGGGGGGCCTAACAAATTAATAGGAGCCGGAGATATATACAGCCAGCGCTGCTGGTGGAGGACGAGGAGGTGGAGGACGACGACGAGAGAGCAATTCATTCCCGTTTTCTCCTCGTTCGCTCTCTGGAGAAAGGCAGAGCGGAGCGGAGCGAGAGAGCGTGTTTGCTCAGGAGAGAGAGAGAGAGAGAGAGAGAGAGAGAGAGAGAGAGAGGGCTTTGTGTGGCAGAGGAGAGGAAAAGTGGTGGTGGTGGGGAAGTGACATGAAAACACAGGAGGAGAAAGACAGAGAACCCAAGCGAGAAAGTGTGGAAATCAGGGGGATATAAGAAAGACGTTTTGAGCGGAAAGGAGGAAGAGAAAGTGACATTAAGGGAGTGAAGGGTGGGATGGAGGGAGGGGGATGGGGGGGTGAAGAGAGGCAGGATAGTATGGGGTTAGCACAGGATGCAGTTTGTCATCTTCATCAGCCGACAGTTGGGGCGCGCTGGAGGGGGCTGGAATGGATAGAGAGGTGAAAGAGGAGGAGAGGCCGAGGGGGGGCGGGGGGGGTGTTTAAGCGGAGCCTTTGAGAGACGTTGACCCTGTAATTGACCTGTGTCTCCGCCTACATCGCTGAGGCGACAAGCAGAGCCGCTGCAGCTAATCACTTAGTAACCCTGACCTGTCAATCACACCAGTTCTGCACTGGGGGGGGGGGGCTGTAGCAAATGAAAGAAAGAGGGAGAGGGAGTGAAGGAGTAATAACAGCACCGGGGTTATCATTTACTGGACCACCCTCCTCCTCCCACCATTCCCTCAGCCGATGAAGCCCTGGTTTTAAAAAAGCCAATAAAATGCTCTGTGCCTCCAACACACACACACACACACGCAATCTCCTTTTCTGTTCATGCTACAGAGAGAGCGAAGCTTTCTGAGAGTTCAGATAAGAGAGAGCAAGAGAGGAGGACGGGAAAGGCAGAGCGGGGAGTGGGAGGAGGGAGGGAGGGTGTGACGGGTTGAGAAGAGATAAGATAGCAGAGTGAAGCCAACATGCAAATAAAACAGAGCACAGAGTGCCGTACAGGTGTGTGTGTGTGTGTGTGTGTGTGTGTGTGTGTGTGTGTGTGTGAGTGAGTTACCTGTTGATGAGGGGAAAGATAGACACCAGCAGGTAAACGGAGGGATACCACTTCAACGGCTTGATCTCTTCAGCCAAGGAAACCTGGAGGAGAGAGAACTGACTAATGACCCACGTAGAGAAACTAAATGCTCACATTAACACTCTTGTCTTTCTATCTCTCTAACACACACACACACACACACACACACACACACACACACACACACACACACACACACACAGACAGACAGACAGACAGACAGACAGACAGACAGACAGACAGACAGACACACACACACACACACACACACACACACACACACACACACACACACACACAGAGTCAGCGTCTTAACTGGAAGATCAGTGCACTGAGGCAAACAACAAAGGCCAATTAAAACCTAATAAAATATTAACCTGCTGATAATACGCAATATCCACACAGTTATGAGAAGAAACGGGGATGATTCCAATTAAACTGGAAGCCAATACTTTGCCGTAATGTGAACGGGTTGAATTCAATATCTGTATAAGCAGGCAGGCAGGCAGGAAGACGGAGAGATGCGGCAGCAGCTAAAAGTCGAGGAGGGGGAGAGCCTGGCGGTGGAGAGCTTTTACAAGCCGTTATCTAATTCCCGGGAGAGGAGGACTCTTGCGTCCGGAAGAGGCTGAGAAGCGCGGCCCCTGGATCGATTTTCTGCGCTGTTCTGGCCCCCTCCCCCCTCCCTTCCCTTCCTCCCCTAGGCTAGGACGCAGCAGCCGAGCCAGCGCAAAAAGCCTCCCTCTCTTTTCCTCTCAGTCTCACACACACACACACACACACACACACACACACACACACACACACACACACACACACACACACACACACACACACAGTCGAAGCCAGGAGGCAGGCCCACAAGCTCTGGTCTCTACCCCCACATGCTGGAAATTAATTACTCACAAGAAAGACCCCGAGGCGTGCAAGCTCTAACGCAGGCATTTTAAACAATTCAAATGAAAATCACGAGAGCCCCCCGGTGGTATTTTATCTTTGTGTGCGTGTGTTTGTGTGTGTGTGTGTGTATGTGCGTGCCGTGCACTAATGTGTGTGTGTGGGAGGGTATTGAATAGCCTATAAGAGCCAAGTTTCGACCGTGTAACGTATGCTGGCTGTATGTGATCAACTGAAAGGAGACTGGTCGTACTTCCCACAGCCCAAACACAAACATTAAGCTGAGCCCTATTAATGTCTATCATAATGGGAAGCTCTGACATCACTGGTCATGTCACGCTCTGCCTATTGTCATCTCAAGAGTGTATGTGTGTGTGTGCTGGAAGGAAATGTCTCATTGGGAGAGAGGGAAAGGGCAAGCCAGGAGCCTGCAGGATGCTACGTGGAAAATTAGATTTCTGTAAGCCCTCCTGTGTGTGTGTGTGTTTTTGTTTTTGTTTGGGGGGGTTTCCAGGGATTGGGTTTAAAAAGAAAGCATGGTGCTCTTAGATAAAAATTTAGGTGAGGTGTAGAGATAGGCATTTGAGGAATTTCAGTGCGCAGGAGACAGGATGTGGAATAGAGGAGGAGGAAGAATGCGGCTAAAGAGCCTCGTGTTTTTAATCACAGTCCTCCCGTGTCAGAGGCCCCTGCGCTGCTCGGGAGGCAGAGGGGAATGAAACCGTAATTATGTGCGGCGGACGCAGCGGTCCCAACATTAATGACGCACGCTAGATTACAGACGGTTATCGGGAGCAACCCATCCCCTTCACCACCCACTGCACTCACCCTCGCTCGCAGAGAAAACAGTCTAAAAATACCTGCATCAGAGTTTCCCAAATGCTCTTGAACATTAAATTCAAGGACTTTTCAAAAGGGTTTTTTGCAGTGAAATTCAAGGACTAAAACTTTAATACAATTTCATAAAGAAATGTTTTTTTCCCCCATGAAATGTGACACTATCATCTATGATCATCAACATCTGCTGCATTATTAACACACATGTCCATCACAGAGTTTTTCTCATGTTGTGACATTGTATTCTTTTAAGGAAAGAGGTTATTGGTCAATTATAATATGTATACTTTGTTTTTTGACAATCCAATTTTCAATCTCGACTCTTAATCCAACATGGAAGAAATGTCCTTAAAAATGTATCATCATCATCACCATCATCCATTCAGTGACAGCTACACAAGCTCCATCCGCCGAGAAAGATTGTGCGATACAATTGAAAGCTTCAGAACAGCTATAAAATGGTAAATCTGGTGAGACTGTTCTGACAGCTAAAATGCTATTTTTCAGTTATTTGTAAAAACCAAATACTTTCAAATACTTTGACTGCCTAATTTGCTTTTGTTAAATCCACAAACAAACCATTTCAGGGACAGTCAAAACCCAAAAGCATCCTGTCAAGAAACCAGAAGTAATGCTGAGGGCTCAAAGCAACATAATATCTAGCAGCTGGAGTGGATCCCAACAAAAGACGCTATGTGTGTTTTGTCAAAGCCACGTGCGTGAGAGCCCTTGAGAGACAAATCCA